TGTGTGTGTGTGTGTGTGTGTGTGTGTGTGTGTGTGTGTGTGTGTGTTCGTGCCCACGCATGAGCTAGAGAAAGGCGAGACCTGAGCAAGGGGGTAGGGCGCTTCCGTGGCATCAGCATGGGGGCTGGTGAGGATGTCAAAGGAGGCAGGGTTTACCGTGGCCCCGACAGATGGAAAAGAACCCGTCACTCTTACTCATCCCCTTCCCAGGACCGACTCATGCTGGTTTGATGGGGAAGAAGGAAGGATGTTAGGGATTGAGAAGGGGCTGGAGTACCCTCCTCCTTTCCCAAGGTGGGGGAATACTGTTCAGCACTAATGGCTTCACTTGTGTATCTATGTTCATGTAATCATGAGACCATTCATTCTTTCCTCTTGACTTCATTCAACAAATAGTTTCTGAGCATCCTTGTGCCAAGGATGGTTAGGGGTGGGGCATACAGAGGTGCACACTTTTAGGGGTAGGAGGAATGTGCCTAGTGGACTGTGACTGAGGATAAGGATGGAGCAGCTGTGGTTCATCTTTGAAGTCCCATCTCCCTCAAGCAGTTACCAAGCAGGAAGGAGACAGGGGACTTGGGGGCCTATTGCACCAATGAGCCAGACTTTGGGGGTGGGGGGCAGTTGGACAGAGGCAGAGCCTGCCATGGGGGTGTCGGAGAAGCCAAGAAGTGAGGAATGGGGATCAGTGGAATTTGAAGAAGTGAGAGGGGTGAGAGACCAAAGTATGGAACAGAAAGCATCTGTTTCAGTGTTTATCTATGTTCATATTCATGGTTAAATTAGTTAACACAGGGACTTCCATGGCGGTCCAGTGGTTAAGACTTTGGCTTCCAATGCAGGGGGTGCAGGTTCTATCCCTGGTGGGGGAGCTAAGATCACACATGCGTTGTGGTCAAAAATCCAAAACATAAAGCAGAAGCAATAATGTAACAAATTCAATAAAGACTTTAAAAATGGTCCACATCAAAAAAAATCTTTAAAAAAATTAGTTAATATATATAAAATGCTTAGACCAATGCCTGGCATATAAGTAGAGCAAATATAAGTGTTAGCTATTATATTACTATTACTGTTACCAGTAATAGTGGATGCTATGTGTTCTAAGGATATACTGGGCTGTCAAACTCATGGGTGCACCCCTAACCTTTGTAGATGCCAGACTCTTTGAAAATCTGTTATTAGACCATGTCCTCCAGAGTAATCATTGGCTTCTTCAAAATTCTCCTATAAATATAGAGAAATGAAAAGAGTAATAAATGAATATGTAAGTAAAAATATAACAGAGAAAATGAAATAACATAAAATACTTGAGTAATCTAACAGAAATCAAGAAAGAAAGAATAAAGCAACTATACTCCAATAAAAATTTATTTTTAAAAAAAGAAAGAAAGAATAAAGGAACAAAAAACAGATGAGATGAAGAGAAAACAAAAAGTAAGATGGCAGGTTTATAGCCTACTATATCAGTAATTACAATAATAATGAATGGAACAAAAAGTACAGTTAAAAAACAAACATCTGGGCTTCCCTGGTGGCGCAGTGGTTAAGAATATGCCTGCCAGGGCTTCCCTGGTGGCGCAGTGGTTGAGAGTCTGCCTGCCGATGCAGGAGACACAGGTTCGTGCCCCGGTCTGGGAAGATGCCACATGCCGCGGAGCGGCTGGGCCCGTGACCCGTGTCCGCTGAGCCTGTGCGTCCGGAGCCTGTGCTCCGCAACGGGAGAGGCCACAACAGTGAGAGGCCCACGTACCACAAAAAAAACAAAAAACAAACAAAAAACCTGCTATAAGGACATAGAAATATTGAAAAACTGATGGAATATGTACACTATGAACACACTAACCAAAAGAAAGCTGGTGTGGCTTTATCAATTTCAGACTGGAAGACAAGAAAGAAGTATTACTAGAAATAAAGAGGAACATTTTATAATGATTGAAGAGTCAATTCAACAGGAAAACACTCCTCAATTTTATGCACCTAATAACAGTTTCAAAATATGCAAAATAAAAAATTACATATGCCGCAGAGCAGCTAAGCCCGTGCGCCACAACTACTGAGCCTGCACTCTAGAGCCTGCGAGCCACAACTACTGAGGCCTGCACACCACAACGAAGAGTAGCCCCCGCTCGCCACAACCAGAGAAAAACCGCACACAGCAACCAAGACCCAACGCAGCCAAAAATAAACAAATAAATAAATTTATATATATATATACATAAAAGTCGAGAAAAATTAAAGAAGACCTAAATCACTGGAAAGATATTCCATGTTCATAGACTGGAAGATTCAGTATTGTAAAAACGTCTGTCCTTCTCAATTTGATCTATAGATTCAATGTAATCTCAATCAAATCCCAGAAAGTTCTTTGGGGGTAGAAAATAACAAGCTGATTCTAAAATTTATGTGGAAATGCAAAGGACCTACAATAGCCAAAATGATTTTGAAAAAGAACAAAGTTAATTCTACCTGATTTCAACGTTGCCTGTCAATTACAGTAATCAAGAGAGTGTGATATTATCAAAAGTACAGATATATAGATCAGTGGAACAGAACAGAGAATACAGAACTGATCACACTTATGAGGTCAATTGATTTTCTACGAAAACAAATCAATAGTGAAAAAATAGTGTTTTTAAACAAATAGTGGTAAAATCACTGGCTATTAATAGGGCAAAAATGAATCACAACCCATACCTTACACTGCATACAAGATGAATTAAATGGATCATAGACCTAAAACTGTTAATTTCTAGAAGAAAAAAATAGGAGAATATCTTCATGACCTTGGGGTAGGAGTGCTTCTTCAAGAGTACACAAACCACAAAAGATTGATATGTTGAGCTTGTAAAATTATAAGCCATTAAGAGAGTGAAAAGGCAACCCACAGAGTAGGAGATATTGGCAAAACATAACTGACAAAGGGCTTGTCTCCAGGAGATTTAAAGAGTTCCTACAAATCAATAAGAGAAAGATGATCTGATTTTTAAAAGAGTATGGCAGGGAGGAGCAAAAGACATGAATAGGCACTTTACAAAAGAAGATCTCTGAATGTCTAATAGGTACATGAAATGGTGTTCAATATCATTTCTCACCAGGGAATACAAGTTAAAGCCACTATGCACTATTTTTTTTAAAAAAGATGTATTTATTTATTTGGTGGCACTGGTCTTAGTTGTGGCACGTGGGATCTTCGTTGCCGCGCGCGGGATCTTTGTTGTGGCATGTGGGATCTTTTTTTTTTTAGTTGCGGCATGTGGGATCTTTCAGTTGTGGTATGCGGGATCTAGTTCCCTGACCAGGGATTGAACCCGGGCCCCCTGCATTGGGAGCATGGAGTCTTAACCACTGGACCACCAGGGAAGTCCCCACAATGCAGTATTACTGTACCTCCACCAGTAAGGCTAAAATTAAAAGGACTAACAGTTCTAAGTACTGGCAAGGATGTGGTGCAACTGGAACTTTCATTCAATGCTGGAGGGAATGTGAATTAGTACAGTCACCTTGGAAAACTGTTTGGCAGTATCTACGAAAGCGTTTTAAACACATGCCTACCCTCTGACGAAGCCATTCTCGTACCCAACAGAAATGAGTACTTAGGTCCCTCAAAAGATACATGCAAGAATATTCATGGCAGCTTTATTCATAATAGCCCCAAACTTGAAATAATCCAAAAGACCACCAACAGTAGAATGGATAAACTACGATACAGTCATATGATGGAACACTACACAGCAATGAAAAAGAAACACTGCACTCAATGACATAGATGGGTCTCACTAAAGAACATGGACACAAAATAGTATATACTGTGTAACTGCATTGATATGAGGCTCAAGCCCAGGTAAAATTAATCTATGGTGCTAGAAGTCTAAGCGTGGTCCCACAGTGTCCCAAATAAGTGCTAAAGCCTGTGAGAGGAGAGAGGGAGGCGTCTGGGTGTGAGAGGTGGGCAGGTGTCAGTTTATATACTGGTGAGTAGTACTTGAAGGGAGAGTGGCTTCTGAGCCTCTACCTCTCTCCCTAGTACCTCTTGGCACAATGGTGTGGACACAGCAGGTGTTCACTAGATGCTTGTTGAGACAGCTCAGTGTAAGAATGGACTAGTAACTTGGTGCCTCAGGGATCTTTTCACTTAGAGAAAAAATACAAGTGCTTGGCCTCCAAGTCAGTGCCTCTTGGTACCAAACGTAGTCAATGGAATGGTCTCAGGAGCCCCTCAAAAGGGGTGGGACCATCTTATCCAGCTCACTTTACACCTGGTGAAAGGTACCAGAGGTAACCAGCTGAGAAGGGGTGGGCCGGTAACTGAGGAAGTGCATGGGGTTTGGAACCAAGAAACTGTTCAAATCTGGCCCTGCCGCTTTGCACCTGTGTGATCTCGGCCAAGTTATTTCACCTCTCTGGTGGTCACAGCTTCCAGGCCTATCAAACAGGGAGAGTTCTGCCTACTTCAGAGGATGGCAGGGTGGGAAAGTGTCATTGTGAATCCCTGAGCAGTGACTTATCAGGATCCCTCGGGAGGTGGGGGGGAACAGCCGGCGACCCCAGGGCGTGGTGGGAGTAATGCTGCTGAGGTGGGCTCTGCAGGAGGACCAGAAGCCTGCGGCGAGGATGGGCCGGGGGGGGGGGGGGGGGGGCGTGGTCTGTCACGTCAGGGACCTCCCTTCCCCCACAGCCCTCCTCCATGTCTCCGGACCTGCAGGGAGACAGCTCGTTACTGGTGGAGATCTCTGATGCCGTCAGCGAGCGGGACAAGGTGAAATTCACTGTTCAAACCAAGGTGAGGCTGCGCCGGAGCAGGGGGGGTTCAGATGGCTGCTTCAGGAGCCCGGCGCACGGATGCCCGCGTAGCCTCTGGGCCCGGCTCCTCAGCCTGGCTCTTGGCCCCTGGCCCTCTGAGAAAGAGGGCATCTTGTCTAGTCTCGTACAGCCTTTGCCTGCCTAAGGCCCCAAGTACTACCATCCCCTGTCCACCCTCCTGAGGGTAGTCATGGACGCGTGAGCCCCAACTTGGGCCTCCCCTGGGATGTGGGATTGGGGAGGCCCAAAAGTGGGTGCCCAGGAAGCTTGGTGGGTGTAGGGTTTGGGCAGGGGAGGAAAGACACCTCAGCTAGGTTCCCTGGCTTCCAGAGCTGCGTCCCTCACTTCGCCCAGACCGAGTTCTCAGTTGTGCGACATCATGAGGAGTTCATCTGGCTACACAACGCCTACGTGGAAAACGAGGAGTACGCCGGTCTCATTGTGAGGAGGGGCCGGCCTGGGCACCGGGGGGCGGCCGGGAGGCTGGGCCAGGCTTCGGGGAGCGGGTGACGGCCTTCTCAACGATGAGAGGACTTCCAGCTCTGTCCCTCCTTGGAGCAGATCCCCCCAGCCCCTCCAAGGCCAGACTTCGAGGCTTCAAGGGAAAAACTGCAGAAGTTGGGTGAGGGAGACAGCTCTATCACGCGGGAAGAGTTTGCCAAAATGAAGGAGGAGCTGGAAGCGTGAGTGCCGCCTCCCGTTCCTGTCTGTGACAAAGCCCCAGCCCAGCCTCTCCTGACAGCCCCAGGGTTTCTCCCCTGACTGTCCCCCGTGGATGCTTAGGACCCTGCTCCTCGCTCCAGGGCTGCCGAGGGGGAAGGGGGCAGGAGGGGGGAAGGAGCCAGGGAGGGCCCGCGAGCTGCCTGCCGTCCTCTGCAGGGAGTATCTGGCCATCTTTAAGAAGACAGTTGCGATGCATGAAGTCTTTCTGCAGCGCCTGGCGGCCCACCCCACCCTGCGTCGAGACCACAACTTCTTTGTCTTTTTGGAATATGGCCAGGATGTGAGCTGGGCCACAGAGCTGGGGTCCCCTCGGGGGTGGGGGGCAAGGCTCTAAGTGGGCTCAGGCCTCTATCTCATCAGCTCGGCGAGTGGTATATGCCCGGGGTGGGAGGTGCAAATGCCCACCCTGACGTCACACCCTCCCCACGTGTGCCTCAGCTGAGTGTCCGAGGAAAGAACAGGAAGGAGCTCCTTGGGGGGTTTCTGAGGAATATTGTGAAGTCTGCAGATGAAGCCCTCATCACTGGCATGTCAGGGCTCAAGGTGACTTGGGGGGCCCCCTCTCTGGATTCAACCCAGGGCCTCAAGTCCCCAGCAAGGATTGAGACCCTGGGTCCCCGTGGGAGGGAAGCCACTGATGGGGCCCTGCCTAGAGGGAGATTGTGCCACGCCCGGGAGCCCGAGACTGCGCTGCTCCTGGTGACTCGGTGTGAGTGGGTCCTGTCTGGCTCCCTTAGGAGGTGGATGACTTCTTCGAGCATGAGAGGACCTTCCTGCTGGAGTACCACACCCGCATCCGGGACGCCTGCCTTCGGGCAGACAGAGTCATGCACTCTCACAAGTGTACGCAGGGCCCCAGGGGCCCTGGATTCCCCCCAGTGGCCCTACTCCCCAGGGGAGAGTAGAGGGCAGGAAATGCCGTGTCTGTCCATGGCCACAAACACCAGGGGTGGGACTTGACGTGCAGACCAAGGGGCTCTGATAGACGGCTCTTCCCCAACAGGCCTGGCAGATGATTATATCCCTATCTCAGCTGCACTGAGCAGTCTGGGAACACAAGAAGTCAACCAGCTAAAGACGTGAGGACACCCTCTTGCCCCTCTGCCCTCTTTCTTTGCCTGTAATACTGTGTCTGTCCATGAGGGGTCACTCCATGGAAGCCTACTATCAGCTCTAGTGGGAGATGCAGAAGCTCCTCTTGGGCTTTGGGAGAAAAAGAGAGGGAAGTTTCACCAGGGCAGGGAAGCTTTAAGCAATCCCTAAGACCCCTGCCCTAACTCCTCCCCACCGCCTCCTAGGAGCTTCCTCAAATTGGCAGAGCTCTTTGAACGACTAAGGGTGAGTACTGCCTTCTGTGTTGAAAGGCCACCCAATGATCCTTTGCAGGGAAGAGAGTGTCCCGGGAGAGGGGAAAGCTCCAGGGTCATTTTGGATTGTTCAGTGATAACTTGGGCTCAGTGAGGCCCTGGACTCACTCTGCAGACTAGTTTAATAAGAGATGGAGTGGAGACAGGGAATCCAGCCTCAAGTGTGGGTGTGTGGTGATGGGGGAGGAGGTGGGAAGTGGGCTTGGCGAGGCACTTACAATGATGTGCCACGTGCCTCTGGCAGACTGTTCTGTGCTGCCAGCATCCTGCCCCAGACACGCTCTTCCTGGACTCCTCTCCAAGGAAGTCACCAGAGTGTGCCATGTGCCAGTCTTCCTAAAATGTCCGTTGGACCCCATCTCTTCCCTGCTCAGGGCCCTTCAGTGACCCTATCCCTCCTTGAAACTATCCAACACACAAAGCCCCAAGTCCCTAGCTTGCATCTTAAGCCTGTTGTGATCTGGCCCACTGCTGCCCAAGTGCCCCACTGAACTTATGGTTCCCTGAAAACATACCAGGCTTGCACACCTGCAAAGCCTTTGGCTGTCGTCTAAGCCCTGCTCAACCCCCAAGATCCAGATCAGATGCCACCTCCTCTGTGAAGCCTTCCCTGGCCTGCTCCCCTGAACCACAGGGCTTGACATAGCGTGGGTATCAAGTGACCCTACTTGGTATTTAGATGAACAGCAGCACTCCCAGTCCTTAGCTGCCCCCCCACCAGCTCCCTCCCCAGCCTCCACTTTCCTGATTCAGAAACTGGAGGGCCGAGTGGCTTCTGACGAGGACCTGAAGCTGTCGGACATGCTGAGGTACTACTTGCGCGACTCACAGGCAGCCAAGGTGAGAGGTGGCCCCAGAGCAGACCTCAGGGCTGGAGCCACCAGGGAGGGCGGGCAGGTAGGCAAGGGCCGTGGGCCAGGGATCCTGTGCCCCTGCCGGTCCCAGGACCTGCTGTACCGGCGGCTGCGGGCGCTGGCAGACTATGAGAACGCCAACAAGGCACTGGACAAGGCGCGCACCAGGAACCGGGAGGTGAGGACCGCCGAGAGCCACCAGCAGCTGTGCTGCCAGCGCTTTGAACGCCTCTCCGACTCAGCCAAGCAGGGTAAGCCCCACGGCCCTGGAGCCCCTGCCACTGCACTGCTGACTCTGCCGGGGTCCCCATTCCTCTCTTCTCCAGAGCTCATGGACTTCAGATCCCGCCGCGTCTCCTCCTTCCGCAAGAACCTCATCGAGCTGGCGGAGCTGGAGCTCAAACACGCTAAGGTGAGCCCTCCAGCCTCACCGAGCCTTCTTGCTGCTTTCCTGGCCTCCCACCGCTGGGCCTCTAGGCCCTTATCAAGTGTCTTGGCGCATGGGGGGTGCGGTGGAGCTCGGGGGGGGAGGTCAGGCTGCCAGGAGCAGCCCCAGCTGTTCAAGACCACAGTTCCCCATTTTGGATCAGGACCATTCCCTTCTGTCATTGGTAGTGAGGCCTCAATAAATGGTAGCTGTTATTGCTGAGGACAGGGGTGGGGACGGAGGGGCTACCCAAGGTGAGGTAACAGAGGGGGTAGCAGCAGATGGGAGCCATCAAGAACCTCTCCTCTGCAGGCCAGCACCCTGCTTCTCCGGAACACCCTTGTCATCCTCAAGGGGGAACCTTAGAGCCACCAGAGTTCCCCCCGACCTCCCACCCCAGCAAGATGCCTCCTTCCCCACCCCAGGAGCCACTCACCATGCCCCGTGACTTCTCGGGGCAAGGCCTACCCCTACCCCAAGGTGCCAGGCCCTGCAAGATAGGGCAGCATGGGCACCACACTTGGCCACAGGTAAGCAGAGCCCTAACCTGGGGAAACTCAGGGGCCCTGACCTCCCTCCCCAGAGGCTATGGGGCAGCCTCAACCCACCTCTGGCCCCTGAGTTCATTTGTCTCCAGCTTGTTCACAAATAAAAAGCCTGGTTCTGTAGCAAGGAGGCTTGCTTGTCCTGACTTCCCAGTTGGAGGGCCCACCAAGCACATCCGCTATCGGGGTACCATGGTAGAGACCAGATCCTCGGGGAACACGGTGGGGGACACCCCTGCAGTGTCTTCAGCTGCTTTTCAGAGTGCCAGTGGTGCTCTCTGTGGGAAGGTACAAGACCCAGAACTTGGAATCCAGGAGCAGTCTTCAAGGCGTGCCACCACCCCCATAAACCCTGGCACAGGCCACGCATAAAACGAATTATAAATCCTCTACACCCATTTCCTAATCAGTAAAATGGAACTACCCCTTCCTGCCTCCCTACCAGAGATACTGGCCAGCTCCAAGGAACTAAGGAATCAGCTCTTTAACTCCAGGCTTTTTTTAGTTGATGGTGGGAGGGGGGGAGGGGGCAGGGTATAAATCCTCCATCACCACCACCCCTAGGGCAACACTTCCACCTTACCTGCAGGGCAGGTGAAAACCCAAAGCACAGGGCTGGAAAAGAGCCCACAGCAATGCCAGGAAGAAGCGTGGGGCTCCAGCCAACACTCTCTTGGTTAAACACAGGAAGGTGAAGCCCAAGACACCTGGGTCTGAAGTCCTGGACTCCACCTGGCTGGCCCCACCCTGGCCCCCAGCCACATCTGCAGAAGGCCAAAGACTCAACCTGGCTTTGGACTCACAGCAGCCACTGGACCCAGCCCTTATAAATGAGTCAGCCATCCAGGAGAGAGAGCAGAGCCAAAGACCAAATACTGGAAGTGGAGAAAAAGGTCAAGAAGCAACCAGTAACTTGCAGTCTCGGGGCCCACATCTGGGCAAGACTGCACAGGGGATCACAGAATGGGCCTCACTGTCCTACTGCCCACCTGGGTCAAGGCAACAGAAGAAACCAGTTCAGGGATTAAGCCTCTCTGTTCAAGGAACCCCTGCAGCCAGTAGCAGACACACCCTGGCTCAGCTACCTTCCAGGCTGGTGCCAACTATGACGCCAGGATATAGAGAGGGAACTGTCAGAAAGGAGACTCAGCTAGTCACTGGCGCCAAATGAGGGCGTGTGGGGCTGGCTGGAAGGAGGGTTAGGGAAGAGATGCTACACATTCTCCCAGCCTACCCGCCCCCAAGGTCCCCTGGGCCCCAACCTCCAAACAAACATCCCATTAGTGAGCCTTTTTATTGTTGTGTGTTTTTTTTGTTTTTTTAATTGAGGGTCCCTTACTGGTCCTGCTTCCATGAGTGGCTGTGACCAGGGGCAAGGGGGAGGGGAACCAGGTGGCGCAGGGAGGGGTCATCTCCACAACATTCCATTTATACACAGAACTAAACAGACAAGCACAGAGTCACTATTGTGGTTAGAAGTTGGCAGCATGGGAAAAGGGAGGAACAAGGGGGGAACTGGGGTGTCGTTAAAAAAAATACAGGTCCCCCCCAAACAGGGGTTCCTGGGGGGAACTTGGTCTGTTTCAACCCAAGAGGAATCAGAAGATCAAAAGCGGTTTGGGAAGGCCAGAACCGTCAGGGATGGAGGGAAGAGGAGGAAGGTCCAGGGGGTGGGGGGGCTGTTTGGCAACTGGGGTGAAGGGACTGCCCTCCCCCTGCTGGGTTCCCCCCAGCCCCTCCGGTCTGGCAGGAAGGGGGCAGCCTGCAACCCCCATGGGCAGGTCTGGGGCTGCCAGATGCTCCAGGCAGGGGGCTGGAGGGGGCTCACAAAGGCTTGCCCTCCAGAGAGATGACGGCGCTGCCCCCCAGCTTCTCTGCCAGGGTGCAGCGGTCCTTGACCTCCTCATAGCAGTTTGCTTGCAATTCATGCTTGATCCCTGTGGAGGAGAAGGGGGAGCATCTGTGAGAGGGAGCCCTAGGGCGGGGGTGGGTGTGCTGCAGCTGGGAAGGAGCCAGCAGAACAGATGGCGGGATAAGGCTACATCCAGCAGGCAGTGAAGAGGAGACAGAGAGAGAGGGCTCTCCTCCACCATGCCGTCCACCCCACCCTGCAGCCAAGGCCTGAATGCAAGGGCTTACGGCACCACCAGCGCTGGCCCTTACCCGTCAGCTTCTTCTTGATGGCGTCCTTGGAGCTGGCGTAGATCATTTTGCTCTTAAGGGGTGCACACTCAGGGGCCCTGGAGGGAAACAGAATCAGAGAACTTACCGCAAAGCCCCCTCCTCCAAGTCTAGCAAGTGCCCTGAAGCGATACAGGACTTCCAGAAACCCCTGAGCTGGCCCCTAACATTCAAGCTTTTATCAAGTTCCTCACTGACAGGCATTTTATTACAACACCCTCCCCTGAAACGCACACCTCTGGGTTAACAAGGAGCCACAGACCTTCCTGTCCTGGGAAAGCAGGGTGGGGCAGAGCTACGGCAGGTGACAGGAAAAGGTGCCTGCAGGAGAAGCTCACCAGAAGATGAACACCAGGTCCTCCTTCTTGCTCTCCTTGGTCTCATAGGTTGCGTCATAGAGGGCGTAGCGGCAGTCCTTGTCTGGCAGCATCTTGACAAAGGTGGTGTAGGGGTCGTCTACAGTCTGGCCCACATCACCTACCAGGATCTCCTTGCCCTCCTCCAAGATGATGTTCTTCTTGTCCTCGCTCAGGCAGAAGAGCACCGCCTTCTTGCGCTTCTTCACCTCCTCTGGTGTCGACGACTTACGCACCTTCATGTCGTTGAACACTTTGATGACCCCATCAGAGACAGCCACGCCAGAGGCCTAGAGAACGAGCCACACGCACCTCATAAGGAACAAGTTTCTGGGACGTGCCCTGAAGTCCCTCCTTTGCTTTCTTAGGAAATCTATCTAGATGTCAACAAATATAGTCCTCAGCCCCAAGAGATCATTAATCCCCTTCCCAAGACAAGTATCACTAGTTTCCCACCCAAGTCACTGTCAAAGGATCAGATGTGACACAACCCCAGAAGAGCCGCCACAGAAGAGACCTCTGATCACATAACTCAACACCATTCCTCCCCACTCCGACATCCTGCAGGCTAGATTAAAGACCTGTGAAAAGCAAAGTCTTGGCCAAGATGTGAACCCAGAATTAAAAGAACCTACAGACACACGGTACTCAGTCTCAGCTTTTGCATAGTGCTAACTCAGAACTTCACAGAGAGTAGAAAGGGACCCAGACAACCAGGTCATAGTCATCTACGAGAGAACCAGGACCCACAACGCTAGAGGAGTCACCAACGGTGCTCAACAGTTCTAGCAAGCCCATCAGAACTGTTCAACGCAGTTATCACACAAGGTATCCCTTTCTCTGCTGGAGTCTTCCTAAACCAAAGGAAGAACAAACCCCTAATTACGGCCCTACCCGACAACTCCCTGTTCTCCGGAAAAAAATGCAGGCCCCAAAGGTCGCTGATAGAAGTTAGCAGTCCAAACTCAAAGGCCCAAACTCAAAGAGCTCCGTGAGAGCTCTTTAAACTTCTATTCTGGGTCGTATTGGGGTCCACCCTAGCCAGGAATGGGGGTGAGACTGTCCACGGTGAAATCGGCCCCCGCTCCCGGAACTGCAGAGGAAGCCGGCCACGTGATTGAGCCGCTTCCGGAGTAGGCGGGGAAAGGAGACCGGCTAGACTCAGCCCCCTCCCCGAAAAAAAACCCGTACCTAGAGGAAGCAACACCTCCAGGGCCTCAACCCTAAGGAAGCGCCTTTACCGACAAGCTTATCGCCCCCCTGCGCTGCGGGCCTGGACAAATTACCCAACCTTCGGCTCTCGCAGCCCTCGGGCCGAACACAGGGGACGGGGTGGTTTCCGGGCGGTGCCCGCCTGGGTCACTTCCCTAAACTCGGCTCCACCCTCAGGCCCCATCCTGGAAAGCCGACAGCCCCGCTGGTCCACGGCTTCGGGCCCAGCAGCCAGGCCGGACCGTGTGCGCACGCGCCGGCCGACAGCGCCGTTCCAGCCTCCGCCGGGTGTAGTCTGCGAACCCAGCTCGCCTTGTGGGCTCGCTAGCTCCCGAGCACGGCCGTGATCTCCGCGCTGTCCGCTCTGTGCTGCGCGGTGCAAGTCTCTAATCCCAGGCGCCTGCGCCCGGACCCGGACACCCCCGCATCCCCGCTAGCCGCGCCGCCCCCGCCCCTTGCGAGCATCCCTGCCACCTGCTCTCGAGACAGACCCGCCTGAGAGGGAGGGTGACGCGGAGATAGGAACAGCCCCTGGGTGGGGCGCGCGCGCCGAGACCGCTCGCGCGCTTTTCCTTCGCCGCCCCCGGGCCAGGTTTGGATGCCGCGTGCTCCCGTCGAGCGCGCCCCCGTGAGCCGACTCTCTTCGGCCCCGCCGCGGCGCGCGACACCGGCTGCTCAGCGAGGGACGGGCGCGCGCGCCCTGGACCCCTCCCCCACGGCCCTTGTCCGCGCGGGCGCAACAGCGGGGTGGGGGAGGGGAAGGGAGTCCAGGGGGCGCGCGAGCGACGTCCAAGCCGGCCCTCACCGGCGCCCGCGGGCGCGCACGCGCGTCCCGGCGCCGCCCGCCCCTCAGCACGAGACCCTCATCCTGCCCGGGGAGCTGGGGGAGGGGATGCCGACGTCGCTCCCCCGTTCCCTTTAGCGCGCGCAGATGATCGACCCGCAGCCGCCTCCCCTCCGGCGCCATGGCCTGCCGCTCACCATGTTTCCGGAAGAGAAAAGGAGATAGCAAGGAGAGCCAGAAAAGACAAGAGCCGCTGCAGCTGCTGCCGGGATCCGACTGAACGCGGCCTCTCCCGGCCCCTTCCGTTTAGTACGAGCCGCACAATGAGGGGCGGGGCGGGCTTCCGGCGCTCCCCCCGCGGGCCGACGGGAAATGAAGTCCGAGGGTCCTGCGCCGTCTTCGGGCTCGCTGGGTAACAGAGTCTTTTTCACCTGACGGCCTCCCTGCTCCACGTTGCATACTGGGAAATGTAGTTCAAAACAGCCGAGAGAGGCGGGGCTATGGCACGGAGAGCGCACCCGTTGGTCGAATTTCCCAGGAAATGCTCGGAGCTGAGCGAAGGCCTCGGCGTTGGGTAATATGACCTGAAAATGAGCCCCGACTTCGCGCTCTCTACCTCGGAGGGAAACGGTTTTCCTAAGATCCATCTTGGCACTATCTGGATCCTTTGGTCTGAAAATTTTCAGTGAGTTAGTATTTTGGTTTTCCGAATTGAAGCACCTATTCATTGGCCTGGAATCCAGCCCTAGAGCAAGGAGAATCGCCAGTATAAGGCACCTTCTATCCAATAAACATTTGTTAAGCATCCTCCATGTGTAAAGCCACTCTTGTCTACTGAGAAAAGGCCATATGCAACGTCAATAAAATAAGAGAAAAAAACGCAAGGGAAAGGCTACGAGGAAATCTTTGAAAATAGAGATTTGTACTTGTTTTTAGGGTGTTTGGCAAAATCATGAGGTAATAAGCCAAAATCATGAGACAGGGGTTTGTGCATTCAATTCAAGGATTATGTGCCTTTTACTAAACAGTGAAAAGCGGAAATAGATATTAAACCAAACTTGAGTCTCATTCTCGAGTTGGTAACCAGGCATATGGTTAATTAGTACCGGCAGAAATTGAGACAGAAACTCTGTGGGAGCATAACCTTCAAAAAAAGAAACTGGGGTGGGGGAGTCCGGGAAGATTTCTTTGGCCTCGAACAAAGGCCATGCCCTCTTTCTCTGCAGGAAGAGAAGACAGGGTCGCAAACAAGAGAATTGGGGGCGTTGATCCCATATGCAGAATAAAGGGTGTAAATGAAGAGCCAGAAGGCTGGGCTTCAGGACCCGGGGAGCGACTCCCGAGAGTGGGGTACGTCGCAGAGCATGCCGGGGGTTGTAGTCGGGGACCTTCCGCCGCATCGCCCACCAACCGAGCTCCCGGGAGCCTCAGGCGGGGGCCACAGCTCAACCGCCTCGCGCAAGCGGCCCTGCCTGGAGAGGAGGCTGGCTCCACCTTTTTTGAGCTTCGGAGTTTCCTAGAGCAACGACGAGGGAGAGGGAGACTTCGCAGTTACCCTGGAGACGCGCTCCCGCCCGCCCCTAGCTGCGGGATGCCCTAGATGTCCTTATTAGGACATGAGGCTAGAGGGGGCGGGGCCAAACCGAACGCCCGCTGGAGGCTCCTTATAAGGCAGCGTCGGGCGGGAGGCGGGAGTGTGGAGCAGGCTGGGGGGGGTGAGGGATCGAGGCGGGGCGGAGTTTGAAGGGGCGGGCCTGGAAGCTCTGGCGCCCGCCTCTCCGCTCCAGTAAGGCCTCAGATCCGCACCTCGCCACTTCCGGTGTAGCCGATGAGGGCTGCTCTAATTTGCTGGCGAGACTCTCGTGCTCAACTGGGACCCCTCTGCATAGTTCCCATCTTAACCTCCCTGAGGGTCCCCCACCTCCAATGAGTCTCAAAAACGGTGAAGTGGGGCTTCCCTGGTGGCGCAGTTCTTGAGAATCTGCCTGCCAATGCAGGGGACAAGGGTTCGAGCCCTGGTCTGGGAAGATCCCACGTGCCGCGGAGCAACTGGGCCCGTGAGCCACAACTACTGAGCCTGCGCGTCTGGAGCCTGTGCTCCGCAACAAGAGAGGCCGCGACAGTGAGAGCCCCGCGCACCGCGATGAAGAGTGGCCCTCGCTCGCCGCAACTAGAGAAAGCCCTCGCACAGAAACGAAGACCCAACACAGACCCAAAAATTAATAAATAAATAATTTTTAAAAAAAACAAAAACGATGAAGTGTTTTCCCCTTGTCCGGGCTTCTTACTCCCAGGCTGCTACCCCGAATCCAACAACGCGACCACTTCAGCCCCTCCCACATATTCCGATGTCCAGTACCTCCTATTTGTTCCCTCTCTACTTGTCCTCTGTCCCCCTCTCCCCGTCCTGCAAGCTTTGGCCTTCCCTGCGTGTCCCCGACTTCGCGCCCCTCCCCCATGGAGGCCCCAGCTCGGGATCACCATTTCCTCGGAGGGTCTTTCAGCTGCTCTCGCGTTACCTTCATGTCCTCATTCCCTGTACCCATTCCTAATGTCCCTCCGACGAAACTACCTGCAACCCATTTGTTCCCCCACCCCCCCGGACTCTTCATAAGCCCAGTCTCTATACCGTCCTCCGCTAGAGCGAGCCCGAAACTGACAGCCTTAGGTTACTCGGTATGCACCGCCCCAACCAGACCTCCCAGCCACAGGGCGGCGCTGTCCACCTTCCTCTCTCCCGCACAAAGAGGACCCCACCCCTCCACCCCCGCTCTCGAATCTGGGGTGGGAGGAAGGGGCGGGTCAAGGCCTGGGGCGGGCGGGGCGCGTCCGAAAGGCTCGTCCTGTCCCGGGGCGGCGGGAAGGCGAGAGGCTGTAGAGACTGTGCTTGGCACCGACCACTTAGAGTAGTACAGGGGCGGGGAGGGCAGCAGAAATCAGTCCTCTTGGTTAGTTCCCCGCATGGGACCACGTGATTGGAGAGGTCCCGCCCTCCTCCGCCGGAACCAGGTGTTCGAATCCCGTCTCCAGAACTAGCGGCATTTCAGTCCTGCCGGCGTGAGGGCTGGGGCTCACGCCCTGGGGCTCATGGCAGCGCCGGTCCGCCTGGGCCGGAAACGACCGCTGCCCGTTTGCGCCAACCCGCTCTTCGTACGCTGGCTGACCGAGTGGCGGGACGAGGCAGCCAGCAGAGGGCGCCGCACGCAATTCGTGTTTCAGAAGGTGGGTTCTGGCCGGGCCTGATGGGGGACAGGTGCTGGCCGGGCCAGACAGCCAGGTCCACCCTGACCCGGTACTGTACCCCTACTCCGCCAGGCACTGCGCTCCCTACGGCGGTACCCACTGCCCCTGCACAGCGGCAAGGAAGCTAAGATCCTACAGCACTTCGGAGACGGGCTTTGCCGGATGCTGGACCGGCGGCTGCAGCAGCACAAGGCATCAGGTGGTGAACGCTGGGAGCAGGGGTCTGTGGTCCCTTGAGCCTCCCTCAGATGCAGCTTCTGTAACCACCTGGGATACTTTGGCTTCAGGCTCCCTGCTCCTGTCCAAGTTGCTGTTTGACGTCGGGCTAGTGGTTGAGTTTTTCAGAACCTCACCGCTCTCACCAACCACTTGAGCTGGCCGCGTCACAGACCATCCTACCTGCTGGATTCCAGGGTCCAGGGTTGACTCTCTTCTACTCCCGCAGGTGACCACGCCCCATGTTCACCACCTGGAGCGAAGAGTCCAGCCCGGGAAAGGCCTGCCAAAGTCCAGGATCCTTACATGCCAGTGAGGAGAGGGCAGGGGGGTAGAAGGGAAAGCGGGAGCACCAGGAGTAAGATTTTCTGGCTTGGGGGACTTAGCTGGGCTGGGTCCAAATCCCACCAGTGACACCTGGCTCTGGGCAAATGACTTATTCTGTGTGATGCTTAATTTTCTTATCTGTAGGTGTAGATAGTGAGTTATAATAGAGTCAGTTGAGAGAATTCCATGATCAAGCTATTTAGGGGGCCAAACCCAGTAAGTTATGGGATTTGCTGTTGAGTCTTCTTGTCTTACCTTCTCTGTCCTGTGCTAGAACTGAAGCTGGGCCAGGCCGATTACACCCCTACCCCACCCCCCACCCCCTGAAACTGTCCACCGTCTCATCCCAAGTTTGCAGGAGATCATACTATCACATGGCCTATTTTACAGATACAGAAGCTAGAGAGGCAGCTGAGTAATTTGCTCAGGGCCGTTTAGTCTGCTGAGATAGAACCTGAACCTCAGCTTTGCCAGGGATTGTGTCTGCAACAGCTGGCTGGCTTTTGGCTTCAAAGGCCCCCTGTACCTTTCAGGGTCCAACCCAGCTCAAAGCAGGAGGCTCTGGCAAGTATTGGCCAGCTCGGCACTCGGGAGCTCGAGCAGTACTGCTGCTGCTGTACCGGGAACACCTGGTGAGCGCCTGACCAAATCGGGAGTCCGGGGAACTGAGGCCACGGGCCTGCGGCTCCTGGGGCAGGCTGCTCGGGCGCTGAACCTAAGTTGGTTACATTTCTGCCTTGGTTACAGAATCCTAGCAGCCACGGCTTCCTAACCAAGGATGAGCTGCTGCAGAGGTGTGTCCAGAAGGCTCCAAGGGTGAGCACTGAGAGGGGGAAGGAGGGAGCCAAGTGGCTCTGGATCTGACCCTGAGCCCACCACAGGCTGCCCTTCTTGGGAGCAAGCAGCGGGGTGAGACAAGGGGGTGGGCAGGTGGTAGCCCTGGGAGCTCTCTAAGGGTCTCCTCCCGTACGAACAGGTGGCCCCTGGAAGTGCTCGGCCCTGGCCAGCCCTCCGCTCCCTCCTCCACAGGAATCTCGTCCTCAGGACGCAGCAGCCAGCTAGGTGGGGAGAACGACGTGAGATGCAGGAGGCAGGGCCGGGGAGTAGGCGTGCCGTGCTGAGGTGGCCCTGCAGCCTGATGTGTACTTGTTGCCGACCAGAGGAGTGGCCCTGGGCAGGTCCAGAGGCAGCTGATCTGAGGGGCGAGAACGTGGCTAGCAGGAGGGGTGTTGGGCAGCCACTGGCCTTGTTTGTGAAGTGTCGCCAAGGCTGGTGAGACCAGCCTAGCTGGGGGCAGGCAGGGGAGCCCGCCAAGTATGAGTGAAGAAGGGAGATCTGTGTTCTCTTTTTCCACCCACCAGGTACTCACTGACCCCAGAGGGTCTGGAGCTGGCCCAGAAGCTGGCTGAGTCGGAGGGCCTGAGCTTGCTGAGTGTGGGCAGCGGGCCAGAGGAGCCCCCTGGGGAGGAGCCTGCGGTGCCAGGAGCGGCCTCAGCTGAGCTGTGAGGAGGGGGAGGGGGGAGAACAGGGGAGCAGGAATCGTCCCCAAAATGAGGCCAGGACCCCACCCTGTCTCCATCAGCTCCAGCTGAGCTGTGGCTGCCCCACCTCCTAGGGGTTAGAGGAGCAGCAGCCCGGGCCTTGCACA